AAGAGCGGAAGAGGGAGATCGCTTAGTCCGGCACAAATAAGTAAAGAGGAGACTTCGGCGGCCAGATCGAGAGAGAGCAGTGAGCCGGGGCCTCGGCTCACAAATGAGGAGAGTTCGCCGAAGGATGGGGGAGTCTTGGGAAGCAGGATAGAGCGAAGCAGGAAAAGGAGTGCCAGCTAGGGCTGGCTCGCGAATGAGAGGGAGAGGAGTCGGGCGTTTGAATTTTGGATTTAGGAAAATAAATCCCCCTCCCCCTAATCTTATATCACTATATGAATATATATATATATATATATATAATATAATATAAGATATTTAAATTTTTCTGATTCACGCACCTTTGCTCGTGCATGAGGTCACATCAAAATGTGTGTCCTCCCTAGCTAAATTCGATGTCCCGGACGCGTCGACACGGTCTGTTTTGTCATTCGGGGTCGCCCGGACGACTTCGTCGACGGTCGGGTCGAAAACGCGTCAAATTCAAATTCCTTTAAAATTATCGCTCGTGATCGATCGTTCTAGTAATTGATTCGAGTTTGATCAATCATGAAGCCTTTTGTGGGTGCTGGTGACGTTAATTTCGATAATTGTGTGCATCGACACTTGAATTGTGGTATTCGTGTATCGTGAGTGTGTGCGGACGACACAGAGTTTCCTAAGGCTTTAGATCCTACGAGTACTCAACTCGAGCTTCGTCACGTTGGTTTTAATCGACTCAACTAAACTTTGAAGATTTAGAACCGACGATATGAAACTGCGAGGAGTCAAGAAGTGACTCGAATTTCTAGTTGGTGCGGGTCCCAGACCAGTCTTCTAAGAGAGTCGGTAGGAAACCTTAAGGCTAGATCCTAGGCTTTAAGAAGAGTAAGAAACCTCACAGAAAATGAGGTCAACAAAGCATTAAACAAATTTAAGTGTTGCTGAGATGAGAATGCTTAGATGGATGAGTGGCTTGACACTTAGAGACAAAATGCAAAATGAATGCATCCGTGATGGGGTTGGTGTAGCTCTAGTGGCGGACAAGATTAGAGAGAGCTGTCTTAGATGGTTTGGTCACATTAAACGCCGACCACCAGATGATTCTGTTAGGAGAGTAGATGTTTTAGATTCAATTTATGGTAAGAAAGACAGAGGTAGACCTAAAAAGACTTGGGCAAATTGTATAAAAAATGATCTTAATCTTTTAGAATTAAATGAAAATATAACACTCAATATGACACGATGGAGAGAAAGGATTCATGTAGCTGATCCCACTTAGTGGGATAAATGCTTCTTGTTGTTTTTGTAATAAATTGTTGAAGTTGAAATTCCCAAGTAGGGAAATTTTTACTTGTGAAGCATACACCAACAATATTTAAGTTGGTTATTTTTTTGAGAAAGATTTCTAAGAGATGATTTCTGAGTAGAAATCTTTACAAAATTGGTGCTAAAGAATGAATACCTAAATTAGGCTAGATTGTCTAGAACAATCCTAGGTGATCGGCCTTGTAAGACAAGCAGTTGGCTCCAAGAGATCAACTGTGTAGGGCATGCTAGGTGACAAGTGACTAAGGTTTATGTGGTGGGATCATTGGAGACATCAGACGCTAGATTTGGCTAGACTGATTGTTGAAGGTAGGGTTATTGTACATGCTTTTGATGATAAACCTAGAGGCGGCAGAGACTAGATCTGTCCTTGGAGGCGGACATGAGTGCATTAAGATCGATTGCTGTAAGTGATGAGATTGCAGTGTTATGCAATGTGTGGTTGACTATTTAGATGAGGGTTTGATGTGGTCGAGGACTAGCGTTACTTGAGGGAGATGAGGTCCATGATATCGTAGGAGTAATAGCGCTACCATAAATGTGATAACTTTAACACAACTTTAATACAAATAGTAATTATCAATATATTGAAAATAATGGCATCATATAAGGCTAAATTCCAGTGATTACAACATCAGATTTGTCTTACCAAGGAATATGCAGTTTTATTCTTAAATACAAATATTTACAACTATAGTAAATAATGCAGATTTTCTAGCCTTAATTAAATAGAATAATATAAGAATTTTGGCCTAAATTTAATTGATAACATCGGTCTAGCATCTCTTTTTTTTTGTTTAAACACTTTGATTTTGTTCCATAATTAAACCCACCTCAGTTACACCGATGCTAGCTCAAAAGGGACGGTTCTGGTCCTCATTATTAGTTTCATACGTCCACCAATTGTTTGCTAAAAGTAGATAATATGCTTCGTCCTCACATTTTTATACAAATTATCTTTTCACACTCTATTCTTTAAGAGCTCTTCTAACAAAGCTCCAAGTGAAGTTTGATTAAGCTAAGCGAGCACCTAGTTGGTACAGTTGTTGAGAAATATTCTAGTATTGCTGCCGGATGCTGCCATGCACTGGAATGTGGGGAAGTTTTGATGTTGGATTTTGTTGGGACTTTGAAAAGAATGTACTTTTATAATGACTTAAAATTTTTAATACCATTTTGAGAAAGATGGATCATTGCAGGGATTAGCTTTTCTTTCTTTCAACTTTGAATTATTCTTTTTTTTATTCCAAAATCTTTCATATTATCGCGCGCGCTCGTGTGTCTATATATATATATATATATATATATATTTGAAAAAGCCCTAGGGCAATTATATTTAAGAGGAAAAGATGCAGATAGGTTATATAATTAAAAGATTGGCCAGAGACTATTAGATGAGCCTCCTGACCAACCTCACGTGCCTAAGAATTCCATTCCGCACGTAGGCGGGATTGAACCCATGTATATATATATATCCCTTTTCTGAATGTTTTTAAGTATATATTTTTTTTATTTACTGTTTGTGCTTACTATTTGTGATACAACAGCCTTGTATTTTGTGTTTTTCTTGTTCATTTCTATTGATATCAAAATGATTTTGCTCAGCATTTATTTTGCATTTTCTTGTTCATCTCTATTGATATGAAATCTCTATTGATATGCAAATGATTTTGCTCAGCATTTCTTTTGCAACACTATAAGAATATCATATATAGTTGCAATTTTTATTTCTTTTGCAGCACTATAAGTCTGCTTTGTTGCTGAATGAAGATGTCCTGCTCATGACTAAGTGTGATCCCTTTTGTTCAGGTTAACTGCCTGGCATTCAATCCATTTAATGAGTGGGTTGTTGCGACGGGTTCAACTGATAAAACTGTTAAGCTTTTTGACCTTCGCAAGATCAGCACTGCACTACATACTTTTGACTGTCACAAGTACGTATCATTACCCCTCCTTATCAAAGGGTTACCATGCATGTGATTAAACATTCCCAACTTTCTTTACATGATAGAGAGGAGGTTTTCCAAGTTGGCTGGAGTCCCAAGAATGAGACGATACTTGCATCTTGTTGCCTGGGTAGGAGGCTTATGGTTTGGGATCTAAGCAGGTAAATGGCTCAAGCTTTTGTTATTTTTTGACATTTTTGTGAGTCAATTTATTTACATTCCGGGCCTTTTCTTAGTACATTTTTTAAAGTTGTTTCAGAATGATTGTGATTATTCCAGATTTTTTTTTGTATGGATGGTTTTATTTTATTTTGTAGTGGTTTGCACTTGCAAATAATTCTACTGGTGCGTTGTTCATGGATGCAAATAAGAGGCGGTTGAATTTTGTAGTACATTAATGCATATATTCTTTTACATGGGGTTTAACTTTTCATTTAAAATAAATTGCATAAAAAATTGGTATTTATGTCATTCAAGACGAGCATCGTTGTTATATTATTTTCTATAATAAGTTTTATGCTAGTGTCCCATTAATTTTAACATTCTTAAAAATTTCAGAACGACATTTTTTTTGTTGCTATATGCTATATTGGCGTATTGATGTTTTTATTTTATTAAAAATTTTAATACATTTTAGGAATGTTCTAGTAGCCTAGTCTACATGAGGGCCTTTAGTCTATCTTCTGGGTACTTATTGAGAATTATTGAATGATTATCAAATGATTATTGTGAATTGGTCTACACTCTCTCTCTCTCTATCTCTCTTCCACTCTTGACACACACATGGTTCTGCGTGTGTTAGATAGGGGGATTGGGACAGGAGCTCGTCCCACGACATCTAGATGGGATTTTCCCCATCCTTTGGTTGTTGTAGCTCATGTGGGCCCTATTTTTTATTATTTGAATTAAATTAGGGTTTTATTAGCTGCTAAGATAAATATGTTGTAGGAACCTGATTTTGAAACGTTTGGTTTTGGTTTTTATGCAATAGAGATTATTTTTCTCTATTTGTATATTGGAATGTTGTATCTTTTGATTTTTCTCTTCTGACATGCTTATAATCTTATTGGATCAAGCTGGTATTCTCTCCCGGATGTCTGAAGGCCTTTCTTCTTCTTCGAACCTACTGCGAGGTGCGGTTTGAAAGTAAAATCCTATTGTTTTTTTGCAACCGGACCAGTATATGCTATTGTTTTCTTGCAACCGAACCACTGCCTAACCAACGGTTGTGCTGAATTTCAGCCGCCAACTTGCCTCCCTTCTCCGTTACCTTTCCCATTATTATCCTAGCACTTCTCTTGATTGATGTCATTTAGTATTAGAGGTCGGTAAACCTTAAATTTACTGGGTCTGTTTTTCCCATGCCTAAACTTAAAATTTTAAAAAGCTAAGTATTCTACATCCACTAAAAATTTATCCCAAAATCTACCACATAAGCTAAACCGTTGGCCAATTTTTTATCCGCATTCTTACATTTGCCAAAACCCCAACTTGAGGAGCAAATCACTATGCCGACAATGGGAAATCCTCAAAGAGGTATTCAAGAGCTTACCATGGAGGATATATAATAGAAAATCCTCCAAGTGTAGCGGAGGCTAGCAACTTTTAAAATGAGGCAAAATTGGAAAGGCACAACGATGACCATCTTAGGGAAGAAGATAATGAAAACCCTTTTCACCAATAAGTTTCAAGCGATGAAGAGCTGATCAGTTTGGCATTGAGTATAGAAGGAGATAGAGTGACTTCGGAGCGAAGATTGATTTTCTAGTTTTAATGGCTATATGAATTTAGGTGAGTTTATTGAGTAGCTCTAGATTGAATTTGAGTACAAGTACGTTACATATGATAGGTAAGCTAAATTAGGCACTATCATATTAATGAAGTGTGTTTCCTTGTTATGGGAGAACTAGAAGCACCTACGTCAGCGTGAGGAAAAGAGTAAAATCACAAAATTTTTCAAGACGAAGGAGATACAACGCAAGTACTTGCCAACGTAATACAAACATGATATGTTATTGAGATTTCATCTATTACAACAGAAAAACTTCTCAGCAGAGAAGCATATGGTTGAGTTTGAGCAATTTATTTTAACATGCGATTAGGTAGAGCCTAAGAGGAACACTATAGTCAAGTATCTTGGAGGGTTGAGACATTTTATTAATTGTAAGGTGCAGTTATAGTCATACTGGATATTACTGGATGTTCCGATTTTAGCCATGAAAATGGAGAGGTATCAAAGTAGTATTAAGTCCACACCATTCTTCTGACAGAGTTCAAATATCGAAATAGGCAGCAAAAACACACTGTCCAGAGGCCCAAGACCCGTTGCTCATGTTGAGAAGCCAACATAAGAGGAAAAATGGACTGACTGGACTAACTCCCAAAAATATTTTTTGTGTTCCTCCTCTTGACAAACACATTTCAAAAAGTTTTCCTTGTCTCCAGCAGTAGCCTCTTCGCTGAAGGCTCCTCTTCTCCGCTTTCAGTAACCATCCGTCCAGCGGTAGGAATTTCTCTCTCTTTGATGATGGTGTTTGTTTGCTTCGAGGCCGGAGGCCGAGAACTGATTGACAAAACTGCCAGAGAGCCGATCGAGGCACCTCCAACCTCTCCCTCTTGTTTGCTTGTTTCCCCCTATTCATTCGCCTCGTCACCAATCACTTCTTCCTCCTTGCCATTATTCAAAGAGAATCTTTGTAGAATAAAGAGATTATGTTGGTCATTTACCCTCTTGGCATAATTTCTTTTTTCTATAAAGATTAACTTGTCAGTTATTTTTTTCTAAAAGAAGACAATAGGATAGAATTAGTAGCTGTACTAGCTCGTACCTATTGAAATCATACCTTGTGTCATTTCTTGGCGTTCCTTCGCCAAGGTCACCTCTTCCTTGTCTTGGGTGACATCCTTAAATTTCAAGTCCTCCTTAGTCATGACCTTGTAGAGGGTGGAGCCAACATCTTGTCTATTAGTGAAGCTTGGAGGTACTTGAGTACATTGAGCTCCTTGCCCATCACCTTGTAGGCACTTTGGATGAGCTCGTACAACGATTTCAGTTTGACCTTTGTAGTGGGGACATGAGCTGACCTCGTCCCAATCAACTAATTTCCCTCGATAGAGGCGAAGCAGAACTTTTGCTTCTAGTCATTCAATTAATTTGTAGCCCTTGGAAGCGGAACTTGTCCCCGAGGAACTGTATGAACCCCTTCTAATCGGGGTGCATGGTGAAAGATAACTAAAAAGCTCAATCGATCATGGGATCTTTATCCACCGCATGAACATCATCAAGGTCATAATAATAGCAATGGAGTTCGACATCACTTGCGCTGGGGGGACAACTCCATAAATTTGAAAGATACTCACCAACTCATCACAGAGAAACGACTAAACCTGAGAAGTAAAAGGTGAATGATGAAATTAATATGTTCAAATAGCGTCTTATCGTTCTATTTATAGAGCCAAAGGCCTTGTAATTTAATTGAGTATTCACATTATGAGCTTGCATTTAATTCCCTTGTTCTAATTTTAATACAACCTCCAAACTCCTAAGATATGAGAATCGGGGAGCTAAATATGTATATGACCAAAAGCAGTACTTGAACTACCAAGGACTAAATAGCTATCGGCTCATCCATCAACCGAAGCTAAACGGGTGGAGGAATCTAGAAGCTGACTACAAAAAAATCAATTTAGAATGTCAAGTGATTGTATGGAAAATAAAAAACTCTTTAGAACGAGTACGACAGACCAAGTATAATAGGCCGAGTACGAAGGATTGAGCATGATAATCACCGGAGACAGAACTTCCTCGTTTAGCAATGAAGTTCTCTAGAAGAGGAATTCTCCAAGATCCAACCTTATTGGGGTTATAACCGTTAATGGCAGCTATATGTGTGTAGATGTCTAGGGATGATTAGACCTAAATGTCATTTTATGAATTTCCCCTATAAATAGGGGGTATTAAATGTAAACAGGGATCTCATTGCGCTCCTGATTTCTGCAGTTTTCCACTTGTAAGAACTAAGGAAAAAGCCGCTTTACTCCATCATTTACATTCTTGTCTTGTCTTAACTCAGTTGCTCAGCTGCTCACCTCTCCCTTTGCTCTCCCTTAATTCTGATAATTGCATCTACATTTCTCTTCTCCATAGAATTGACGAAGAACAAACACCAGAGGATGCAGAAGATGGTCCACCTGAGCTGCTCTTCATCCATGGAGGCCACACCAGTAAGATCTCTGATTTTTCCTGGAACCCTTGTGAGGATTGGGTCATTGCCAGTGTTGCTGAAGACAACATCCTTCAGATATGGCAGATGGCTGAGAATATCTACCATGATGAAGACGATTTACCTGCTGATGACCCTACTAAAGCATCTTAATATAACTTATACATATATAGTATTATTTTTTGTCTGGTTTGTTGTTATGTATTCTTAGTTCATGTTTAGATTAGTTGGGTTTGTTCAGCATGTAGATGAACTGATGAATTAGAACTGCAGCATGTTTTATTATGGTCTTCCCCAGAACTATGATCACTTGCACCTGCAGGATGTGAGCGTATACAAATAGGGGCTGTGAATTTAGGTCTCTCAAAAATCAGTTTGAATTTTGGCTCGGATTGACATCGGATTGAAGTGAATGGGCGCAGGTATGTGATGAAATTTTGGATTGAATTTTTTTCGAGCGGATTTACAGTCATATATAGATGGGCGGCTTGAACTGACTCTAGATCGGCTAGTATTTTTTATTCATAAAAATTATATATATAATGCTGAGTAAAATTGAATATATAATTAGTCATGAGCTAATATAGAGCTGATTTCGAGCTGGTATGGATCCAAGTAACTCAATTTGAGGTGGGTAGCTTAATTTTGAGCCAGATCGTGATCGTTTCAATTTTGCGATGACTCGGCCTAAAATTGTGTATAACAAAGTGTTTGTGTCAATATATATATATATATATTGGAGTTTAGGTGTAATATATGTATATACATACAAATTAAGTGGTATGTACGAACATTTTAATCTTGCGACAGTTATATGTAGATCACCCCGAAAACATTGATATTTATATATTAAACACTTAGATAATTCTTTTGAAATCGAATTGATGTATTTACCTTTGTCATGATCAAACTATTGAGAATTTGATAAAAATGAAAAATATGAGTTGGAATTTTACTTTAAATTCTATTTACATAGGCAACACTCAATTTTAAGTATTTACATGAAGAACACTCAAATCTTTAATTTCACATAAAAATATTGTGCTCACCTATTTTCTAAAAGTGAAATATATAATTTCATGTATATATGTTTATATTACTAAATTATTATATATGTAATTATAAAAGTTTAGATGTTCGATATGATACGAGTTTTAAGGTATATGATATGCCACAAACAAATTTTTTTCATCCAGCACGAATCACGAGGTGATTTTTTAAGCAAGAAACATTCAAATTTTGATTAACATTCATCCAGAGCTCTGATTTCAGTAAACTTATAATCAAATTAATCAACTCAATGAGACGAATCCAATGATATCAAAGTTAGTTCAATTCATGTCGACTCAAGCCCAGATTAAGTCATTAAACTATTCTTAGAAAATTTTTGGACACATTTGGAAGATCAAAATAGATGCCAAATCTAGCAAGATTATAGTCGAATCGAGTGTCTAGACAAGACGAATCCAACGAGTCCAAAATCACTCAATTCTGACAACATTAAGACGCTAAAATGTTCATTAATTGTCATTTTATTAAGGGAAGCTCTCCGGATCGTCCGATCAAAAT